TGCTTCCCCTTTGAAAATCATCACTTTAAGGGCATTGTAGTGTATAATTATGATTATCACATTATAACTTTAACAACTGTGTTCATTTTATTTTATATAGTTAAGGTATTTTCTTTTGGATTTCATTTTTAGAGACTGTCATGGAGTTCCTTGAGAAACTATCTGACAAACTTTTGGAAAGGTTAGTTTTCATTCTACTCTTTAGAATATATGTCTTTTTTTTTTTAAGATTTGATTTATAAAAAATTAGGAAGTGACCTATTAAGAATGTAAGTGTTGGAATATTGGATCAGATCTGTGGAGTCTTCAGCAAGAAATTAAGTGAACGATGAGGTGTACTTGGAAAGCACATAGTTGTCTTCCTGAAGTGACAATCTTGAAAACTTAGGCCATCCCCTCTGTTTAATTATTTGTCTTTAGGAATCATCATTGATGTGTGATTTAAAATTTCTCCGGACCCTTTTGAAACTGTATATTTTAGCTTGTACCATCAATTTTATGTCAAGTTCAGGAAATAGTATTTTTCTTCTTTTGGCCTAGATATTGGCAGCCCACAGATGTGGTAAATTGACCTGTGTTTTGATTTTGTGTATTTTAAGAATGCTCTGATTCACCATTTGTAATTTCAAGCTGAGTGTTTTACTTTCTGCAGTGTATCCCTTTGTTCTATTCTTGCTTACCCTCCTCCCCACTGCCCAGTCTCTTTGATCATGTCATTTGTCCTTCACTAGCACTGTCTTAGTGCTTTGTTGAAGGGCAGTGCCCAATAGGCATCAGATACCTAGCATTCCAGGAAGAGGCATGTCATGCTTTGTAAAAGAGGGTCATGTTCTTGCATTTCTTTATTATAATGCTGTCTAAAATTTCGTTTGCCTCTTTGACTACACCAACATGTTAAACTTTAGCTCACATTTCCATTTTCTGTTATAAACTCATGCCGTAGAACCCAGTCCTCTCTAATTTGGATTATATTTATAAATTCTAAATTTTTAATCCAGTGTATCACTGTGGCCTTGATATAATGAAGAGGAAGTGTTAATTATACAGTTATTTGAGAATTTATTCTACTTGCTTTGTTGGTTAAGTGTTAGTATTCTCTCTCCACTTGTATATAGCTTAGATTATATATTGAGCAAATATCTTCAGATTTTTACAGTTACATATAGGAGTTAATTCTAACAGAAACTTCACATTCCACAGATACTAAGCATGCATTTCATTATTGCCCTATAGTATTTTCCTGTAGGGGAAAAATTCTGAATAGTAATCTTTAATATAATCTATGTTAATATTCTTTTATAGAAAGTAATTTGTTAGTTTCTTACCTTTTTAAGGTATAACAAAAAATGGTGACTTAAAGTTTGTAGATTAACACTTTGTATGTTCCTATAACATTACTAATTTTTCCAAGCTTTAGTACATTCAAGACATAGCTGCCAAGATGCTTTTTAAGGTAGAAATTGTAGTCATTTACTGATGTACCGTATTTGCCAGCGTATAAGACGACTGGGCGTATAAGACAACCCCCTAACATTTCCACTCAAAATACAGAGTTTGTTA